GAGATATAATGTATGTATATTCACTGTGGTCTGGCCTATTAACCTTCATGTTCCAACAAGGTAAAGGAAAATAATAAATAAATTTGACAAGAGAGAAATAGATTGTAGTGCTAAGTGATTATAAATGTTAATTTAGTGTCTGTTTGGTTAGGGCTTAGACATCCTTTACCCCTGACCTGCCAGAAACTAACTATGGTTGAGTACAAGTCACAAGGGACTAAATAATCACAAATGAATAAATGAACAACTTTATTCTTAGACATACTGCAAAACAAATGTAGAGTTTTATCAATCCTCAAAATACATAATAAGCAACTCAACTCAACCTACTATTATCAATTTATCAGTGATTATAATTTCATACAAAACACTTTTTGGCTCTTGGCTGTGGCAAAGTCTTCAATAATGTCCTGAAAGTCCAACTTTTTAACATAATCTCTCTGTATGTTGAGTGACAATAGGCGACTCTGGCCCATCGTAGATCTTCGACAGTTTTTAATTCTTTTAAGCTTGGAAAATGACCATAGGTAGCAGCACGCACAGTGTTTGAAGGTCGTGAGGGTAAAATAAGGCACATAATGGTGCATCAGGAAATTTAGGGGCCTACGAAAAAAAAGTGCCCAGGGCCTACGAAACCCTTAATCCATCTCTGCTTATGGTCACTGCATGGAATGTCAGGACCCTTCTGGACACTAGCACAAATGAGCATCCTGGAAGAAGAACTGCCCTTGTGGCAAAAGAGCTAGCTAGGTAATCAACATAGCGGCCATTAGTGAGTTCTGGCTCCCAAACAAGGGTCGACTCACAGAATGGGGGTCTGGCTATACCTTCTTCTGGAAGGGTAAGCCTGCTGCGGAGAGAAACAGCATTTATGGAGCTGGCTTTGCCATCCGCCAACGCATCCAACAAAGGCTAACTGAAATGCCTGTTGGGATCAAGGAGCACCTCATGACGCTTTGAGTCCCACTGAATCACTCACGTCATGCCTTCTTTATCAGTGCACATGCCCCGACACTGGATGCAGAGGATGACATCAAGGAGGCTGTTACCGCAAGCAGTAATGAGTAGGATGACACATAAACAAACACTATGTTAGGCTGTAAGTCATGTCAGGTTTATTGGGTGTGCCTGCCCGTATACAGTGTGTAGAGTGTTGAGATGGTGGAGATGAGAGACCTAGAGGAGGTGAGGTGCTAGGGTGGTAGTAAGGGAACTTGTTTGTGTATAATCACCTGACTCAGCAGCCCTCACCCATCGACAGAGGGTTGGGGAGGCGGCATGGTGTATCACTGTAGCTGTTCAGACAACAGAGGCAACACCTAACCTGGTTTCCTTTGAGACTTTCAACACATAAGTTTAACTGGTACTTATTGTGTACACAGGTAGACTGTGTCCATTGCATCATTTATCATTGTGACGACATAAAAATATGGAAACTTAAGTACTCATTATAAGTGTTAAGATTAGACTGATTACATCGCTATGATTGTTTTGTAAATATATATTGGATTAGACATTTATGTGATTGCCTATGTATGTTTTATGTGAAATACTAAAAGGAATTGTATCCAACAGGTTTGACCAAATTATAATGTTTGAGTCCAACGTCACAAGTTTCACTAAATCCTCTAACCGCCTGATTGGCGGTTATAGAGGCCTTTTACACCGACCTTGACAAAGTGTTAACCTCTATCCCCAGATAAGACAAGGTTGTGCTCCTTGTTGACTTCAATGCTAGAGTTGACAAAGATATTGACATTTGGCAGAGAACCATAGGGAGAAAGGACTAGCCAAGTGTACTCCCAACAGCCTACTCCTCCTCACTTACAAACTTTCAGAGATACAAACATCATCACTGAGGGAGGTTACCTGCCAGAACAGGTGTTTAATGAGGATGAGACAGGATTATTTTGAAGAAAATTCCAGATAGAACAAACATTACCTAAGAGGAGAAGAGTGAGCCAGGTTTTAAGGCTGTATTAAAGGGTATAGCTATACTAAATATCCATAATTTTTAATTTTTTACAATATGTTTGGTATCTACAAACAAGCCTCAGGAATGTAACTCATCATAAGTAGAGGAGCAACTGTACTCATCGATGATAAACCTGCTGTTTTAACTGACTGGCAGAACACCCCTCAGTCTTGGACCAAAGCTGATACCTTCAGCAAGAAGAAAGCGGGAACTTCACAATCTAAAGAACGACTGGTTTAAAAATAAAGCATGTGAAACAATAAAATTTGCAGATCAACACAAGATGTGCGAATTTTTAATTCCACTAAAACATTTTATGGGTTAATCTCTCATGGCGCAGCCCCCCTCCACTCAGCTGACGGTAACTCCATAATTAAAGAAAAAGAAGGCCTCCTTCAGCGCTGGAATGAGCACTACTATTCACTGCTCAACCGAAACACCAATGTGGATGTCCTGACTATCCAGCAAGTCCCTCATCATCCAGAACTGACCCACCTCAGCAATCCTTCATCCCTGGATGAGGTAGCTACTGCCATCAAACAGATGAAAAATAACAAAGCCTCAGGGCCTGATGGTATCCCAGCCGAGGTGTATAAAGCAGGAGGACCTCTGCTGGAGCATATATGGGAAGAGGAGGAAATCCCCCAAGCTCTTAAAGACGCCTCCATCATCAATTTTTATAAGAACAAGGGAGACCTGTCAAACTGTGGCAACTACCGTGGGATCTTGCTGCTCTCTGTAGCTGGCAAGATTATCGCCCGAGTCCTCCTAAACAGACTTCTTCCTGAGATGGAAAACTTCCTCCCAGAATCTTGATGTGGCTTTAGACCATCACGACCATCATGAGGCACCACTGACATGATCTTTGCTGCCCGCCAGATACAGGGAAAGTGCAGAGAACAGCGTCATGACCTGTACATGACTTTCATCGACCTAACCAAGGCGTTCGATTAGGTCAACAGGGAAGCCCTCTGGTGGACACTCAGCCGTTTTTGCTCCCCACCAAAATGCATCCCCATTGTGAGGCAACTCCACGACGGCATGAACGGCAGTGTCCTGCACAATGGCACCCAGTCTGAGTTCTTCCCCATCCAAACAGAGGTTAAACAAGGATATTTACTGGAACCAACTCTCTTTTCCATTTTCTTGGCTGCCTTCCTTACTCGTACCAACGCAAATTTAGCCGGCGGCATGGACATCCAGTACTGGATGAACGGTCTTTTCAACATAAGACGACTCCAGGCAAGAATAAAGTGTCAGCAGCTTCCATTACTGAACTTCAGTATGCAGACGACCTCACTCTTGTTGCTCACACTGAATGCGACCTACAGGAGATGTTGAACACCTACGCAGATGTGTATGCACACTTCGGCCTTGAGGTGAATGTATGTAAGACTCAGATTCTCTTTCAACCTGGCCCTGGTTCAGCCACACCTCCACCATCCATCCAGCTTAACGGTACTACCCTCTTTAATGTTACCCACTTTCAGTATCTCGGTTCCCACCTGTCCACCACTGCGGACATTGATGAAGAGATTCAGCGTTGGATCAGTTGTACATCTCAAGCCTTTGGCAGACTCCAAGACCATGTCTTCAGCTGTAGGGAGCTGAAATTATCTGCAAAGTTGCACGTATATCGAGCAGTGGTCCTCCCCACCCTGCTGTATGTCAGTGAGATATGGGTCACATACAGGAGGCACCTCAAGGCACTTGAAAACTTTCACCAACGTAGTCTACGTTCCATCCTCCGAGTTCGCTGGGAAGACAAGAGAACAAATGCCAGTATTCTTGCTGACACCAACTGTAGGAGCATCGAGGCGACCATTACCCACATGGACGACAGTAGACTGCCAAAGCAGCTACTTTACAGTCACCTAACGAATAGTAAACGTAATGCTGGCGGACAACTGAAGAGGTATAAGGATAGTCTGAAGACAAACCTGAAAAAGTGCCAAATCGACCCCTTCACCTGGGAGATGATTACTCCACACCGTACCGCTTGGAGGAGCACCACACAAGAAGTGTCAATACTTTCGAGTTAGCCCGACTGCATAACGAGGCAGAAAAGCGCCAACGCCAAAAAGACGCTGCCACCGCCCCTCCCGCACTAGATGTAGCCCTCCACATGTGCAACATCTGTGATCGACCCTGCCAGTCCCATATCGTCCACTTTAGTCACATCAGAACTCACCAACCTAGGTGACATCCTTAATAACTCATATCATTGTATCATAGCTGGATGATCGTCATACTCAATTCCGAGTGACAGCAAAGTAGTAGTCGTAGTAGTGTATGTGTGTGTGTGACTGGGCATCCAACTAAACAATACTATTGTTTGGTTTTAACAGTCTGTTCAATAAACTTCTCCCCTGACTGAGAGATAACCCCCCACTTATGGTGCACAGTTAACATGACCGTCCTTGCTTTAAGACCCACACAGGTTACGTATCAATCCTGCACATCACCACCTAACATCTCATATAATTGAATAAACAGTGAAGGTATAATTCCATGTATAATTAATCTATAAGAGGTATGATAAGTATTCATCAATCAGCTATCAACTTCAAGATGAATTACCCTAATAAAAATATTCTGCATTTACTGAACTTAATATAAATAATGTTCTAAGTAAATAAATTGATAATGAGTAAATTGTGTGAGTTCTAAGCCAAAATAAATGCTCCATCTATCACTATACCTTCAGTGTTGGATCATAGAGTAAAATAAATGCTCCATCTATCACTATACCTTCAGTGTTGGATCATAGAGTAAAATAAATGCTCCATCTATCGCTACACCTTTAGTGTTGGATCATAGAGCAAAATAAATGCTCCATCTATCGCTACACCTTTAGTGTTGGATCATAGAGTAAAATAAATGCTCCATCTATCGCTACACCTTTAGTGTTGGATCATAGAGTAAAATAAATGCTCCATCTATCGCTATACCTTTAGTGTTGGATCATAACCAAAATAAATGCTCCATCTGTGTTTACAAAAGTATGAGAGGAAGTTGGTCTTACCCATCACTGAAGGCTCCGTTCCACTCACGTTCGCCCCAAGGGTTCTTCAGCCGGACCATACGCACCTTCTGAGCACCTCTGTAATAAATATATAGTGTTATGATCCACTCTGTAACATAATATAGTGTTATAAACCACTCTGTAACATAATATAGTGTTATGAACCACTCTTGTAACATAATATAGTGTTATGAACCACTCTGTAACATAAAATAGTGTTATGAACCACTCTGTAACATAATATAGTGTTATGAACCACTCTGTAACATAATATAGTGTTATGAACCACTCTGTAACATAATATTGTGTTATGAACCACTCTGTAACATAAAATAGTGTTATGAACCACTCTGTAACATAATGGGGTGTTATGAGTTACTGCAGTGTACAGTTGAACCTCGATTTACGCGGTTCTCGTTTACGCATTTGGTCATTTACACGGTACCTTGCCAGAACCGGGATGCCAGATTTACGCGGTGAATTTACTCATTTACGCGGGTGAAGTATAATTTGTTTATTTACTGAAGATATATATATGTTTTTAGCTCATAAAATATATAATTTACATTGCTGGAATCCTTACGAGATGGTGATCATTTTAAATATAAACAACTTAACATTTGCATTAGACATACAAATTTTAGATGTAATTTAAGAAGATCATGAAAATTAGCAAATATTTTACCTTTTGTGCAAAATATATGAAGTTTACATTCAAAATATTCCCTGAACTGCAAGGAATCCAGAAATGTCAATTATATTATCCTAACTTTAGTCCGAGGTATTATTTATTACTATACCTTAAAATCTAGTGTTTTCACCCAAACATTTCTCAGAGCGCTACTCCGCGGGTGCGTAAATATATTTCTATACGATTAAAACATTAGCACATGACAGTATACAATATAGTGTGGAAAGAACTACCAATACTGTACAGTACTAATGTAATGTGTACCTCTACTGTGTGTGTGTGTGTGTGTGTGTGTACAGTATGTATGTATGTATGTATGTATGCATGTATGTATGTATGTATTCAACAGTATACAAGTTCCATAGTTACACACATCTACAATACACTAACACTTCTTTACAAATACTGTACAATATCAAACACCTATATAAACCTCAGTTATGTATATACAAATGTGCATAAAATATACTACAATTATACCAACTATATACAGTACACACACATATATTACACTGAGGCTATGTCCCATGTGTGAGCGTCCTGCAGCGTCAAGCGACCAGGGCATAGACGCGCGACCTACTTTCCAAAGTGACCTGTGTCCCACCTGCCAGCGTCTTGCCAGTGTAAACATGCCGTCTACTCATCACAGAAGTCTGTTGGTACTTTTAGAAAATAATGCTTTTCAACGTGTGTTACCTACAGAGGCACCCAGGAAAAAACATCTCATATATCAGAGGAGTATGGAAGTAGGCAAATTTTACCATCTCTCCAAGGAACTTTGACAAGATCCAAAGTAGGTTCACGAGTACACCAGAATGTATTCTGACTCTGGAGGAGGCCTACCAACCCTGTGTATATTTGTTTAAACACTATCCTAGGAACGCTCTGAACAAAGAAAAAATAATTACAGATTGTCACGTGCCAGGCGTGTTGTAGAGTGTGCATTTGGAATTTGTACAAGTAAATGGAGAATTTTAAATGAACTTATTGAAACAAAGGTAGATACTGCTGTTGACAGTGTAAAGTGTGCTATACTTTTCCCTCACATCATCACTGACACAGAGGGTCTGGACACAAAGTCACAAGAATGTACAGTTGAGAATAACACAGCGCCCTCTACAATAAACAATGCTCCACATTCTTCTGCACAGAATGTGACAAAAACGTTAGCAGCTACTTTAATAGTCCACAAGGCTTATATCTTGGCAGATCAAGCTGTTAACAGTGGAAAATGAATGTAAAGCCTTGTTGAGTTTTGATGCAGAATGTGAGGATTTGCATGACTGAGGAAGTGACCATCAAAATATTTGATCGGTGCTTCAGGGTCATGCGTCTAGTTCCAACTTCCTGGTCGCTGGCAAATGCTTCAAGCGTCTACAGGGAAACATCAAAGAAAACACATATGTTTGTCCGCTCCACCAAGGCAGCGTGTTTACTCGTGTGGTCGCTCAATGCCGCAGGATGTTCGTACATGGGACAAGGCTTTACAAGGCTAAACGTTTATAACTGTTACCTCTTGATGTATGGCCAGCCATCAGGGACGTATACAAGGTTTATATCAATGGGCACGTGACTGCATGAAAATGAGGCAAAGACGAATATAATAATGATAATAACAAAGATGATAAGAATAATAAAGTACTAGCAATAAAAGTAATAATAAAAATAATGATAATAATAATAATAACAATAATAATAAATATAATCATAATAATAATAATAATAATAATAATAATAATAATAATAATACTGTATCTTGATTAGAGAATTATGAAACATAAAATATATGAACTGTTTTAGAGATAACATTTTCTTTAAAGCCCCAGACATCCCAATAACGTACCAGTCAGTCATCCAAGTAACACCTGCCTCAACTGGTAGACTGTCACAACAACACAACAAGCAACACTCACAATACCACACAGTCAATCAATCATCCACGACTGCTTCCTAATAACTGGGAGGAAAGGAATAATGATAAAGGTTAGGTTCTACTTTAGGGTGCAGTCTACAAAGTTACATTTAGTCTAACCTAACCTGACCTGACTTGACCTACCCTGACCTAACCTAACCTAACATGACTTGATATGACCTAACCTGACCTAACGTGACCTAACCTAACGTGACCTGATCTGACCTAACCTAACACCACCAGATACTATTATGCGTTGGTTAATCTTAATGTGATCAGTGTATATTAACACTGACTCAGGATATTAACACTGACTCAGGGATATATGAACACTGACTCAGGATATTAACACTGACTCAGGGTATTAACACTGACTCAGGGATATATGAACACTGACTCAGGATATTAACACTGACTCAGGATATTAACACTGACTCAGGGTATTAACACTGACTCAGGGATATATGAACACTGACTCAGGATATTAACACTGACTCAGGATATTAACACTGACTCAGGGTATTAACACTGACTCTGACCTGTGATAATAATACCGACTCAAGATATTAACACTGACTCAAGATATTAACACTGACTCAGGGATATATGAACACTGACTCAGGTATTAACATCAGACTCAAGATATTAACACACTGACTCAGGATATTAACACCGAATCAGGATATATGAACACTGACCAGGGTATTAACACCGACTCAAGATATTAACACTGACCAGGATATTAACACTGACTCAGTGTTAACACTGACTCAAGATATTAACACTGACTCAGGATATTAACACTGACTCCAGGATATTAATACTGACTCAAGATATTAACACTGACTCAAGATATTAACACTGACCTGTGATATTAACACTGACTCAAGATATTACCACTGACTCAAGAGGCTAACACTGACTCAAGATATTAACACTGACTCAGGATATATGAACACCGACTCAGGTAATAACACCGACTCAAGATATTAACACCGACTCAGGATATTAACACTGAATCAGTAGGATATATGAACACTTCGACTCAGGGTATTAACACTGACTCAAGATATTAACACTGACTCAGGATATTAACACTGACTCAGGGTATTAACACTGACTCAAGATATTAACACTGACTCAGGATATTAACACTGACTCAAGATATTAACACTGACTCAAGATATTAACACTGACTCAGGATATTAATACTGACTCAAGATATTAACACTGACTCAAGATATTAACACTGACTCAGGGATATATGAACACTGACTCAGGGTATTAACACTGACTCAAGATATTAACACTGACTCAGGATATTAACACTGACTCAGGATATTAACACTGACTCAAGATATTAACACACTCAGGATATTAACACTGACTCAAGATATTAACACTGACTCAGGATATTAACACTGACTCAGGATATTAACACTGACTCAGGATATTAACACTGAATCAGGATATTAACACTGACTCAGGGATATATTAACACTGACTCAGGGATATATTAACACTGACTCAGGGATATATGAACACTGACTCAGGGTATTAACACTGACTCAAGATATTAACACTGACTCAGGATATTAACACTGAATCAGGATATTAATACTGACTCAAGATATTAACACTGACTCAAGATATTAACACTGACTCAAGATATTAACACTGACTCAAGATATTAACACTGACTCAGGGATATATGAACACTGACTCAGGATATTAACACTGACTCAGGATATTAACACTGACTCAGGATATTAACACTGACTCAAGATATTAACACTGACTCAAGATATTAACACTGACTCAGGATATTAATACTGACTCAAGATATTAACACTGACTCAAGATATTAACACTGACTACAGGGATATATGAACACTGACTCAGGTATTAACACTGACTCCAAGATATTAACACTGACTCAGATATTAACACCGAATCAGATATTAATACTGACTCAAAGATATTAACACTGACTCAAGATAGTTATTAACACTGACTCAGGATATTAACACTGAATCAGGATATTAACACTGACTCAGGGATATATTAACACTGACTCAGGGATATATTAACACTGACTCAGGGATATATTAACACTGACTCAGGATATTAACACTGACTCAGGATATTAACACTGACTCAGGATATTAACACTGACTCAAGATATTAACACTGACTCAGGGATATATTAACACTGACTCAGGATATTAACACTGACTCAGGGATATATTAACACTGACTCAGGGATATATTAACAGACTCAGGGATATATTAACACTGACTCAGGGATATATGAACACTGACTCAGGGATAATACTGTACTCACTTGAATATGGAGAAGAGACCAGTGTCGCCAATGTTGATCTTCTTACAAGCAGTGATGCCATAAGCGTGTCCCTTGATCAGTCCCACGTTAGTTCTCATCTCTGCCTCCTCGTGACTGTGAGGCTGTAAAGGTCAACAAATATATAACGAACATCTGACCTTGCGAGAGGGAGATGTGTGGTGTGTGGACATACTCTGTTGGATGGAAGGGTAAGTTACAGTGTGGACTTTGGGTTAGGTTAGGTTACGTTTAGTTTGGTTAAGTTAGGTTAAGTTAGGTTAGGTTACGTTTAGTTTGGTTAAGTTAGGTTAGGTAAGGTTTAGTTTATTTATAATAGGTTAGGTTATATCTTAACCTCGAGTTATATGCATATTACAAACATATACATGACCTACCTCAGCAGTTGTTAATTGATATACTGTAGTTTTATAATCAATACATAAAAAAAAATATGTTTAGTTTAATTTTCATTTATATGTAAAGAATAATAATAGTCATCACCTGCAGTAGACACCTTACTGAAAGACTTACACTTCTCAACAGATCAGAGACAGGCGTGAGAAGGGTGTTATCCAGTGTGGCCCTCACTACCATACACTGGACCATGGCCCTCACTACCATACACTGGACCATGGCCCTCACTACCATACACTGGACCATGGCCCTCACTACCAAACACTGGACCATGGCCCTCACTACCATACACTGGACCATGGCCCTCACTACATACACTGGACCATGGTGACTCACTACACAAATGTCTTGTAAGTTGATACTGGGTGAAATGATAAATCAAATTAAACTAAACTAAATATTGAAAGTTGAGCACAAAAAGCAACCTATATCTTTCCTCTCTCCTCTCCTCTGTTAAATGTACAGTATTGAGGGATCGGCCACATCTTAGCTGGCGAATGGTTCAACAGTTAGATGATGTCGCGTCACGTCTTAAGGGCGAGAGAAACCCACAATTGGATTCACTCAACGTTTATTGATTGATATGGTTAAAACCTGTAAAAACGACACTCGTTAACTACTGATTACATTCCAGTATATGTATTAATTATATGTTAGTTAGTAAATACACTGTTCTGTATGGTTATTATCCAAATAGCCTTACACTATACATGTACTGTATGTAGTTCACAACATTTCACCAAACAATCACAGTGTTCTTGCCCTCACGTGTGGGGGCTCATAGCTCCACTTAACTCCTAGTATCGCTTCACAACATAACACCAAACAATCACAGTGTTCTTGCCCTCACGTGTGGGGGCTCATAGCTCCACTTAACTCCTAGTATCGCTCCAAGTAACTCCTGGTTATAGCTACTGTGTGTACACTCTGGTGAGGTTGGACGATACTGTGTGCCAGAGGTGTCCCGAGCCCCTAGCTGTGGTCATAACAACGAAATGCTTGTTCTGTGGCTGTGACGCTTACAAACATCTGGCGAGGTCACAGGTCGCACGGCCACATGGGAGTCAGAGGTCGAGACGTACAAGGGCGGCGATAACACACATGATAAGTTTAAGTCTGGTTCAGAGATGTAAGGTTAAGCTAGACTAGATTGGCTTAAGTTAAGCAAGATTAGGTTATGCTAAGGTAGGTTAGGTTAGGTTAGGTTCAGTAAGGTTAGGTTATGTTGCAAACAATGTGTAGTGTGGTTTACGATGGTGGTTACATTGGAGCGCTGGTGTATTGATCATTTAGGAAATCATTGGACCCAACGTACACCAACACTTTTTTGATAGTGTGTACATCTCAGGTCTTTGGCAGACCCTGTACCCGTGTCTTCAGCTGCCAACAGTGTATAACAGAGATGTGCCCGACCACCCAAGCGGCTAACGAGCCAATCAGTGGTGAAGAGGATAAAAAGAAAAATTCACTGAGAAGGCAAGAGAATAAATAGCAAGATTCTCCCTTACACCTGTAACTTAACACACACACAGGAGCTACAGAGAACACTATACTTACCACACTGTATTATGTCTCCAAACAATACTGTAGCAGCACACTGTTCACAACACTATACTTACCACAGTGTATTATGTCTCCAAACAATACTGTAGCAGCACACTGTTGACAACACTATACTTACCACAGTGTATTATGTCTCCAAACAATACTGTAGCAGCACACTGTTCACAACACTATACTTACCACAGTGTATTATGTCTCCGAACAATACTGTAGCAGCACACTGTTCACAACACTATACAGTCCCCACTTTACGTAACCCTCTTGTTCCGTCTCAATATCTTATATTTTTACTAATATGTTTCATAGTAACTTTATTAAACTGACTTATGAAGACATTGGCCACACAAGATGTTTTACATTAATCTTCGCATAGTTAATGTGGTGCATTAATAATGTGTTGTGTTAGTGAGGATAATTAACAGGAAGAACGTTAACTTTGTTCATTTAAAGGTCATTATTATTGATGTATCAACTCCACACAGCAGAAACTATTAAATGTTTGTGTGCATCTACTCCACACATCACACACCAATGACCAAGATAATATGTGTATTAACTAACATTAGGTTTGTTCAGTAAAAGCTCATCATTATATGTGACTGTCTACTCCACACATCACACAACATGCAGCTTACCTCAGGGAAGTTTTCTCCAGTCTAGGAAAGCAAGAAGCCATAGATCAAAATATTAGTTAATACTGACACAAGCAAGACATAAGGTAGATAATTTCAGAACAAGAAAAATAAGCACAACTAGGTCTCTATAACTATCCCATTAGGAGCAAAACAATAAAGTATCGTCCAGATCTCTCTACTCAAAAAAACACCAAAAATGACATCGTGAAACTTCCCTATAACGGACTCCTCTCCCCATATAATCAGTTAGATGAGGGTCTCACCTCTAACAGGCCCTCGATATAATGGATTTCCATCTTCATATATTCCGTTAAATAGAAGTTACACCGTACGTATATCATATTTGGAAAACTACCAATAATATTACCTGAAACTACATTACATATGAACTGCGCCTTACAGAAACCTTGCCAAGATACGCAAACAAATGATCTTATACATAACAGGCCTGGCAATGTCCGCAAATGAAAACAATACGACTGTCCTCTAAACAAACATACAAACGTGCACAGAAATGGTAAACGTGCATAAACCGGTCCAGCTGTCTAGAAGAGTGTATAGATAAACAGACAAACAAACAAACGTATCTGACAGTAACATGGGAGAGAAGGAATAAAACAAGAATATTATGGAAGAACCTAACCTAACCTAACCTAACCTAACCTAACCTAACCTAACCTAACCTAACCTAACCTAACCTAACCTAACCTAACCTAACCTAACCTAACCTTACCTTACCTTACCCAATATAACAATAATCTAACCTAACCTAAACAGTAAGTTTTTGTCCATACATTATCCAAATTGCATTCGTTGTGTTAAGGTCTCTGCTGTCACTACAGAAGGAAACTGGAACACAGTACACAGAGCAGGGTGGGTCCAAGGTGTGGGTGGAGGAACGTGGCGGGCACAGTCAACCCACTCAGCTGGGGGGCTTTGGGGAGGGGGCGCTATAACCTCCCCCCCCGATTTTTGTTTAATCTAACCAATATCATGGGGCATTTTCATACAATTGTGAAGCCGTGTGCACTTGATATTAGTAAATATTCCGTGGTAAATAATAATTATTTTTTACAATATAAAAATGCCTGAGTACAATACTGTTCTGCATTAAAGAAAAGGTCTTGGAATATTCTGATGAAAAAGAGGGGTTCCAGACACCAAGGACCCCCCCTGGATCCTCCCCTGCAGAGATGAACTGTGATATGTGGTGAAGTGACAGAGCCAAACTTCTCACACTGGACCTGATGGTACCTGAACCTGGGACACAGTTGTGAGAGGCACGTAACCTACTGATGTACTGTACTGCCAACATACAGCCATCACACTTGTCATTTCTTCACTAAAATCAACATGATAAAAACCAGTGTCATCCCACCTGGACAGCTGTCTTTGTTATGCATTTTTCTGCCACCTCACTTATATGGTTAGGTTAGGTTAGGTTAGGTTAGGTTAGGTTAGGTAAGGTTAGGTTATGCTAATTTAGGTTAGATTACTCAAGGTCAAATCACATAAAACAGATGAGCGTCAAGATCAGAATCATCCAAGACTGATGTAGAGTAATCTAAAAACCTCAGATACCAACCTGATGATGGTCCACAAGTACAGCGTGATACACAGTACAGGTTGTAATTATTAATAACATAGATACATATATTAAAAATTCACAAGTAATATACTGTACAGTATAAAGAACCTTAAGAACCACACAGGTTCAGTGTTAAGGACAAGCTGCTATTACAACAACACTCCAGTCTCAGCACAACTCACTTACCTTACCTTATTTACCTAATGGCCACTAGAGGTGGCCAGGCTGAGGCCAGTGGCCTGTGTAGGATCCCTCCATTGTTCTTGATAACTTTGTCTTGGGTTATTTTGAAGCCCAGTACTGTTCTTGACTCCACACCTTGGGCTGGTAGACTGTTCCATGGGTCCACCAGCCTCTGTGTGGAGAAGTATTTCCTTATGTTTTTCTGCAGGATAACTTGGCCAGCTTGTAGTTGTGTCCCCTCGTGTTGGTGGTGCGTGACATCACAGAGAAATGTCCGGGTTTAAGCTTTCCGTCACTCAAGATATTGAATGTTTCAACGTGATCTGCCCTATTGTGTCTTGTCTGAAGGGTTGTTAGTCTAAGGCCCTCAGTCTACTTGGTCTGTGTTGTACCTTTCTAGGGATGTTAGGTCTTGCTGGAGGTAGAGTTTCCATGCTTGTCTACAGTAATCCAGACTGGGATGAACAGTGCTTGAGAGTTGTACAGTTGAAGGACCATTTTCTTATCTTTGTATTCAGAGGTACTTTTTAAACTGTAATTCTTAAATCTCAATAACCTCACTTCACTGCTGCTCCACTTGTTACGCAGCCTTCAGTAAATGATCTATCACAATGCCAAGATTTTTCTCCTTCTCGACAGTATCCACGAAAGTGTTATCAACACAATTGTTGTTATTAGCGTTGTATCCTAAATGCAGAGTCTTACATTTCATAATGTTAAAGAACATTTGCCAGTCTTAAGACCATTTGAACAGTTCATGCAGGTCTTTCTGCATCTTTGCCACATCGTCTTGACTTGTTATCTTCCCAAATATCTTTGTGTCGTCCGCAAACTTGACAATGTGGCTCAATATGGTTTCATCTATGTTATTTATGTAGATCACAAACAGGGTGGGCCCCAGGATAGAGTCTTGTGGTACTCCACTGAGAACCTTTTTCCATTCAGAATGTACTCCATTTATTACCACTCTTTGTTGCCTGTCCTCGAGCTCGTTGTTAATCCACGTCAAAATCTTGCCTGTGATGCCATGTGCCTGGTTATGGGACATGGTCAAACACCTTAGAAAAGTCCACGTACAACACATCCACTGGTGAGCCTTGGTCTTTTACCTCCTCAAGGAACATGAGTAAGTGTGTCAAGCAGGATTCTGTGTTGTGATGCATTGATAAGACTGTGTTTGGTCAGGTGTTGGTGTTCAATAGATTATAAGGGTGAAAAGGTGGAAAAAGGCAGACACAAATATAACAATTACAGAAGATAAAATCAAACTTACGAGCAACAACAATAAGAGTTACCAATAAGAGTTAGTTGTATGGCAGCAAAGGAAACAGGGTCAGAGAGACAACTTTACTCCTGACGTTTTAGCCACAAAGGAATAATCATAAAGGAGTACACCACTTGCTTATAAGGAGGAGCCCATGACCAAGCTTGTCACCCCATCATAAAGAGTACACCACTTGCTTATAAGGAGGAGCCCATGACCAAGCTTGTCACCCCATCATAAAGAGTACACCACTTGCTTATAAGGAGGAGCCCATGACCAAGCTTGTCACCCCATCATAAAGAGTACACCACTTGCTTATAAGGAGGAGCCCATGACCAAGCTCGTCACCCCATCATAAAGAGTACACCACTTGCTTATGATACCCCATCATTTCACGGAGGAGCCCATGACCAAGCTTGTCACCCCATCATAAAGAGTACACCACTTGCTTATAAGGAGGAGCCCATGACCAAGCTCGTCACCCCATCATAAAGAGTACACCACTTGCTTATAAGGAGGAGCCCATGACTAAGCTCGTCACCCCATCATAAAGAGTACACCACTTGCTTATAAGGAGGAGCCCATGACCAAGCTTGTCACCCCATCATAAAGAGTACACCACTTGCTTATAAGGAGGAGCCCATGATCAAGCTCATTACCCCATTGGTCTGTTCCCATCCTCCTATTCGACCCATAAGACATCGTCAACATCGCTACAATAAAGGCCTCTGTCATCCTTCCTGCCTTGTTGTTAGGATCCAGTGTAATAGATGTTGATTCCTCTCCATGGCCTTATGCAGCATGCTGGCCGCCGTCCACCTGGGCATATGTCCTTTATCATCAATGTTGCTGATGAATGAGTTAAGACGTCCAGTGGCGTGTGACGTGTGTTCCCTACTCCTGCTCATGTCCCATTAGCAGGACTTGATATTGAAACAGTTTATTAGGCCAGAAAACACCATACCAACTATTAGATTAGGTTAGGTTAGATTAGGTTAGATAAGATTAGTCAAGCTTGTTAGGTTAGGTTAGGTGAGGTTAGGTTAGGTGTGGATATGACAAACATTCTCAAAGAAATTCTCCATCTGACTCACCGTAATAGCGCAGCACATTAAAGCGTGCTCGTCCATCTCTTTGCTCATCCTCTTGAACAGTTGTTTACGTTTCTCAAAGTCGTCGGTGTAGCCGCCCACACTGAGGTCCAGGTGAGCAGACACTCCTGAGGTTAAGTCCACCAGAGCATCGCTGAGATTACCGCCCTGTGTACAGAGATAACATTACCGCCCTGTGTACAGAGATAACATTACCGCCCTGTGTACAGAGATAACATTACCGCCCTGTGTACAGAGATAACATTACCGCCCTGTGTACAGAGATAACATTACCGCCCTGTGTACAGAGATAACATTACCGCCCTGTGTACAGCGATAACATTACCATTAGGTTAGGTTAGGCTGCTTTGTTGGTTCATGTGTATAGCCACACTAATAGTACGTATTATTCAGAAAATTTAAAATCCTTCCCAGAATTATTAATACTGTAACAAAATTTCCCATAGTTTGAGCACAATGAGAGAGAGAGAGAGAGAGAGAGAGAGAGAGATGCTGGCCAATTGTCAACATGGGCCAGGTCAGTGTGGGAAGGGTATAACAAGACACCCCTACCTCTAAGGCTTCGTACGAGCCGTGAAGCTTGGCGTACGCTTTCTCCAGCAAGGCACACCAGAACTCCCCCTTCTCTCTAGAGTGTGTAAATATCAACTGGCCCTCGATGGTGGGCAGCAGGTCGTCAATAACAACATCCAGCCACTCCCCGAACCTCCAGAAGCGGAAGTGGAAGATGCCCGGGTGAAGCTCTCCATACTCCTGATCTTTGTAATCTGGTATAACCTGAAATAATAAAAGGATTAAAGCTCTTTGTAATCTGGTATAACCTGAAATAATAAAAGGATTAAAGCTCTTTGTAATCTGGTATAACCTGAAATAATAAAAGGATTAAAGCTCCTTGTAATCTGGTATAACCTGAAATAATAAAAGGATTAAAATCTGGTATAACTCTGTAATCTGGTATAACCTGAAATAATAAAAGGATTAAAGCTCTGTAATCTGGGTATAACCTGAATAATACTCTTTGTAATCTGGTATAACCTGAAATAATAAAAAGGATTAAAGCTCCTTGTAATCTGGTATAACCTGAAATAATAAAAGGATTAAAGCTCTTTGTAATCTGGTATAACCTGAAATAATAAAAGGATTAAAGCTCTTTGTAATCTGGTATAACCTGAAATAATAAAAGGATTAAATCTGTAATTACAATGTGGAAACACTAACACACATAACTCTCACTAACATGTCAAGAGTTTGAGTCCTGCTTGGCCCAGACACATGTGAGAAGGGTGAGTGTTATCATCACTACCAAACATGACAGGTGTTCCTCCAGACACTACACCTTCCTCCTGTGCTAACACTTAAGAGACCAACTGCCCAATCAGTTAGTAACCTGGTACAGTAAGTGGTGAAATTATATTAAAAAAAAATAAAAGTAAAATAAAATAAAACCTCATAGCTACCAGCCCGGCAGAACCCTAAAGCACGTAATGTGGGTCAAATATTTGGGTTTGTGTGTAAATTCAGTGTAAAATAGACATGTTGTCATGGATGTCTCATATATAAGCCATAATTCAAGTGTATAAAAATATAAATAGTGGTGTTGGATTATAACTTTGGTAAATAATTACTGTAGTCTGATGGTCGTAGGTGACGTTTCACCAGGTTGTGATGCGCTAACTACTGATTTCTTGTCAAGCACTTTAATGGTGGTAAATTACTTATCATAAATAAATTAATACAGTAATAGATTATCATTGTATTATAACAATTAATAATAACAAATAACACCGAGTTATCAAAGTAGTTGAATGACGATTGGCTCCCACACCTTTTAGCCGAGACTTACAGGCCTGCGGTGTGTGGGACGCTGGTAGAGCTGGTCACATACCCCCCTGAGCACAGGTCCTACACCACAACCAAGATAGTGTTTTGCTTTTATGTTTCCAGATATTACACAACGTAATAACTTCGAACACTACTGAAGTCTACAGAGAACTTCATTTGACAAAGTGTTTTATCAACGCAGTAAGCTAAAAGACACCACTATCTTTGTCAACGAGGACCTCTGCCCAGGTACCACTAAAGCCCGCCAACAGCAAATGGACCAGTTTAAAGGAGCCAGGAAACGTGACGTTCAATCATAAAACCCTTGTTGTGAGGGATCGGGCAAGTGGACACACGCCCACTCACCCACCCGCTGTACCAACTCCCCCCTAGCCCTTCGAGAACCCCCTCCCCACGGAGGGGGAACCAGCCACTGCCACTATCACCTGAGGAGTTTTTCCCCCCTGTCAGCCTACTCGGGTACTACACGCCCACCCTCTGTGATTGAAACCAGTAACCCTCAAAACCAAGTGACAGGCGCACCTCCCACACAATCTGGAAACCTCCCTCAACAGTCATCTTAATTCTGTTGGTTGCAGCACTTGTGAGTACGTTACCCCCCACTATTATAACTTTCTTTGATCTTCCATTTTTACACCTCAGTGACCCTGAGTTTTTACTGTTCCTTAATCAGTACCAATATTCCTACACTGATGATGCTGGTGTTGTTCCCTTAGATGTGCTAGACCGTATGTGTTACACCCCCTTTACCCATGGTGTCGACACAATACTCCCTCATGTTGATCCTGATGCCTTTCTACAAAACTCACTGGGTTACACCAACCCCAACTGTACCTCTTACCTTCCTGACTCTCCACAGTTTAGTTCTAGTCTTCTTCTACCTCATTCCTTCTCCTCATTAGCCATAACATCAGCAGTATTCCCCTTCATCTAGATACCGTTTTAGATCAGTGTTTATCTTCTATTGCCCACAAATTTGATGTACTTGGGTTCTGTGAGACCAAACTCACTAACGATATTGAACATTTGTATAACATTCCTAATTATTATAGACACTGCGTCAACACGTCACGACACAGTGGTGGTGTCGCCCTATATGTTGATATCAAGTATAACACTTCTGTAAGAGATTATTTAAAGGTTCAGGAGGAGTACATGGAGAGTGTTTTCATTGAATTACGTAACGACACACGAAATATCCTAGTAGGAGTAATCTACAGAAGACCCCACACTAATGTAAGGAACTTTCTTGATAAATTTTTGTTGTTTATCACTATCATAAGTTCAGAGAGGAAACATTGCTACATTACAGGAGATTTCAACCTTGATCTATTAAAATCAGAAACCGACACCTCAGTATTAGACCTTCTTGCTACCTGTCATTCTAAACTCTTCTTCAACACTATAACCAAACCCACTAGAGTAACTGCCACCTCTGCCACTGTGATAGATCATATCTGGACTAGCAACACTCCTAACAACCTAGCAAGTGGAATTATTTATAACAATATCTCAGATCACTTCCCAGTTTTTGCCATGTATAAAACAGCCACAAGACCTGAAAGGTCTAGTAGAGTCTCAATTCAATACAGAGACTACTGCGCCGACAACATGCTCCTTTTTGAAAACAACCTAATGAATGCTAACTGGGATCTTGTCTATGCCTCCAACAACCCTAACGTGAACAGCTGTAACTTCTCTAGCATCTTCAATGCTTGCTTTGATAAATGCTTCCCGCTCAAGACTAAGTCAGTGAAAACTGTATCCATTTCCAAACCCTATATCACAAGCGAAATTAAGATAATGATAAAGGAAAAACACAAACTCCAAAGGAAATTTGCAAAAAGACCCATAACTTTCGGTGATGCTTACCGAAGTATCAGAAATAGAGTAACTCAAGCAGTTAGAAATGCCAGACGTAACTATTATACAAATAAGCTCCAGTCAGCATCAGGCGACAGTAAGAAAACCTGGAATGTCATAAATTCTATTCAGAACAGGAACACTCAGCCTTCGGCCCCCCACTCAGCTTTTATGATAAACGATTCAGTTATAACGGAACCCTCCCTCATTGCCAACCACTTCAATGAATATTTTATTAATGTTGGCAAAAATCTTGCAGAGAGCATCCCAGATCACCATGGGGAATTTAGAGCCTACCTGCAAAACAGACAGCAAAATGAGCTGTTCTTATCTCCTGTCACAGCAGATGAATTACTGGCCATCATAAAAATGTCCAAAGATGCAGCAGCAGGCGAAGACAATATACCAATGAGCATCATTAAGAAAGTAGCCCACTTATTACTACCTGTTCTCCTACACATTTGTAACTCCTCCTTCACTAGTGGTGTCTTTCTGGATAAACTGAAAATTGCTAAAGTTCACCCAGCATATAAAAAAAATCTGGGGACAAAGGTCTCTTCAAGAATTACCGCCCCATATCAGTCCTCCCAGCCTTGAGTAAGATACTGGAGAAGCTAGCATGTAGTAAACTAAATTCCTTCTGCAATGCCAATAACATCTTTACAGACTCCCAGTTTGGATTTAGAGCTAGAAGGTCGACTGAGAGTGCTCTGCTATCCTTTACTAATGACATCTTAAATTCCTTTGATGACAGTCAGTTCACAGTCTGTATATTCTTGGACCTCTCTAAAGCCTTCGATACTGTCGACCATACCATCCTCCTTTCAAAGCTTGAACATTACGGCGTTAGGGGCCTGTCCCACAATTGGTTTACCTCATATCTGTCCAACAGGATGCAGTATGTCTGCTATAATAACCACCAATCTGACTCCTCGCCAATTTTGTATGGAGTCCCCCAAGGTTCCATTCTCGGTCCAGTACTGTTTTTGTTGTACATAAACGACATAGTCCACGCCAGCTCACTCATAAAATACAACTTATTTGCAGACGATAGTAATCTCTATGCCAGCAACTCAGACCTCCATTCCTTGATGAGAACTATGAACACTGAATTAACTAAAATCGGGACCTGGGTAATACGTAATAAACTGACCTTAAACCTTGAGAAAACCCACTACACGATCTTTCACAGAAGGAAAAACTTACCCCCAGACTTGGACCCCCTGTACCTTGGTAATACAGTCCTCAAACGCGAACAAAATACTAAATTCCTCAGAGTTATTGTTGATGAGAAACTTAACTGGAGAAACCACATACAAGCCATTCACAGTAAAGTCAATAAACAGTGCGGTATCATGTATCACACTCGACAGTCACTCACTCTCACAGCAATGAAAGAAATCTATCATGATCTTGTTTACCAACACCTGATACACTGTCACACACTATGGGGGGCCTCTGGCTCTCCAAAAACACAATCTCTGGTTACTACACAAAAGAGAGTTGTAAGGACAATGACCTACCTGAAAAAAACAGATCACACAAACGAAAAATTTGCTATATTGAAATTTTTAAAATTCGAAGATATTAACACTTACTGCTGTACCCTCTTTGTTTACAAATCTATCAATCACTTGCTTGACAATAATTACTTCCAGTTCCGGAATAATCAGAGATACAACTTAAGGCACCCAGAGCTACTAAGACCACCCCCCATGCGCTCCTCTCAGTCCCAGACGTCCATAAAATATCATAGTGTGAAGGTGTGAAGGTATGGAACAACTTACCCCCACCCATCTGAGCAAAGACTACGCTCCCTTCCTTTAAATCATCTCTAAAAAAATATCTATTGTCGAAGTATTAATATTTCTTGTAACACTTACTATATTTACAGTACCTGCTTTTATTGTACCACCAAATCCGTTTTATCGGAAAATATCATGTAAATAAATAAGGAATTACCATTGCAATACACATAATTGCCAACTAGACATAATCCTCAAAGCTCTGTCCTCTTGTTCAACCTTATTACTGCACAACCCAGGTTGTACTGCTCCCCCATTATACTTATGTTTTTAAATTCCACTCTAATTTATGTATACAGTATAGGTACTTTATAAAAAAAAAATAACAATAATAAATAAATAAAAATTAATATTAAATATTGAAGTGATAAATCGTGATAACATGTTCTTATTACCACCATGCTATTGTTCTATTCCAGATGATACTAAAATGTTACATAACACTTCCTTGAGATAATGCACAGTATATTCTGTAGCCTAAAAGAGAGCTCAACTGGCTCAGCCATGTTAATGTTATATAAGTTCTTCATTGACTGCTTGACTTACGTCCATCGGTATTCACCTACCTGCTCTGACTTCACGACCGTCGACATACGACCCCGCAGTCGTGACAAAAATATTTTTCAAATGACGCGCATTTATAATCGAACTTTTCGTCCCTGGCGAGAACGTGGCGGGCGGGCTTTGGTCACTTCGTGGGTGCACTCACTCAGTAGAGTGCTTAGTTGGTGTTTGGCTATCGTATCCTATATACTGATCGCGCTGTGAACTTTCGTTATTATTGTATATAATTGACTTTATAATGACTGGAAAGCGTAAAAGTGAGAGTGCTGGTGATGCTTCAAAGAAAAGGAGATGGGCAATTACTTTTGAGATGAAAATGAAGATAATAATTCAGCATGGGAATGGAAAGACTGTAGCAACAATCTTACGTGACTTAGGTTTCTTACACTCGACCATATCCACTATTCTGAAGGACAAGGAACGTATTCGTGATGTAGTGAAAGGAACAACACCAATAAAGGGAACTATAATTTCAAAGAAAAGACAAGGTCCTATTCACGATATGGAAAAATTATTGGTGATATGGATAGAAGACCAGATACAGAAGCGTGTACCCTTAAGCCTTCTAACCATACAGGCTAAAGCAAGAAGTCTGTTCCAAAGCCTGAAGGAGCAGGCAGGAGATGAATGTGATCAAACCTTTACAGGAAGTCATGGGTGGTTTGATAGATTTAAAAACGCTACAGTCTACACAATGTTAAGGTGAGTGGAGAGGCAGCTAGTGCCGATGTTGGTGCTGCCGAAGCTTTTAAGGAGGAGTTAGATGATGTGATTGTGAAAGGGAATTATTTGCCAGAGCAAATATTCAATGTGGATGAGACTGGATTATTGTGGAAACGCATGCCTGACCGGACATACATCCACAAAGAGGCAAAAAAAATGCCCGGATTCAAGGCATTCAAGGACAGAATTACACTTCTGTTGGGGGGGAATGTTGCTGGTTTCAAGCTAAAGCCCTTCATGATCTATCATTCAGAGAACCCCAGGGCTTTTAAACATGTCAGCAAGCACACACTGCCAGTGTTTTATCGCAGTAATAAGAAAGCTTGTATGGCCTTAGCACTGTTTGAGGATTGGTTCATGACTTGTTTCATTCCACGAGCCAAGGAGTATTGTCTGCAACAACGGATTCCATTCAAGATTTTGCTGATTTTGGATAATGCTCCGGGACACCCACCACACCTGGACGACATGCACCCTGATGTTAAGGTAGTCTACATTCCACCTAACACTACCTCTATCACCCAACCCATGGATCAAGGTGCTATTGCTGCCTTTAAAGCGTATTATTTAAGCACGACCATCGCTCAGGCTGTTGCTGCTACTGAAGGTGAGAAAACGCTCAGAAAGTTTTGGAAGGAGTACAACATTTTGTCATGTATAAAGAACATTAGTGCAGCATGGGATCAGGTTACAAAACATTGCATGAATGGAATATGGAAGAAAATCCTGAAAAGATATGTGAACAGTTTCAAAGGATTTAATGAAAATGAAGTTAGTTCGGATATTAGTAACAAGATAGTGGAGTTAGGTAAACAGCTGGAGTTAGAAATTGATAATGAAGATGTTGGACAGAGAAATTTATAATGAAAAGAAAAAACAAACTGTGCAGTCTAAATTGGACATCAATTTTAAGAAGTCCCTCAGTGCTGTCTCCTCACGCCCCACCAGTGCTGCCTCTTCACTCCCTCAAGATGATCCAATACCTTCAACCAGCAAGTTTCCACAGTACATAAACTTGTCTGAAGAAAGCGACATTGATGACCCACCCAGCCCTGTCTCCTCCTCTGCTTCATCCAATTAATATATTCTCCATGTACACTGTATACCTGTTAACAGAAAATTATGGGGGCCCCGTGTGCATTCAGCTGACTACATTAAAGGTAAGTGTTCAGTCACACTGTATCCATTCTTCATTATTTATTACTTTTACTGTACTGTATTTCATTGTAGATTTATTTTTTTTTTAAATTTTTTTTTTTTTTTTTATCTATGTCGGACTTACGACCTGGATTTGGGTCCCAAGAGTGTGTTACAGGTGTGGTGTAGAGTGTGTTACAGGTGTGGTGTAGAGTGTTACAGGGGAGGCAGGAGGAGTAAAGTATTTTATATATATAATAATGTAAGATTAAAATATACAAGAAACACATAAAATACAGTAAAATAAAAAGATTAATTAAATAAGAAGAAATATGGAGTCTTACCCTATGCCACAGTTCCTTGACACCAGTGAGGGTGGCACAGGCTGCAACAAACCAACAGTTGCCAAGCTGGCCCTGGGTGACATCATTTGCGTTCACTCCCTCAACAAACAAACGAGGCTTATCAACAAGCTCCTGTAATATGACATACAAGACATAAAATAACTACATATAAAAAACATAAGAAACTATAGTTGTACTCTACATTAATAATACTTATAATCTGTAATGTTAGCGGAATTGATTGAGAATGATGATAATTGTGACATAAATAAAGAAATGAAGAATTTGAACAAGTAATCATCAGTACATCTGGTATTCACTACAGAGTTAAAAATCATTGATATTTGTAACAACTTCTGGTTCATGCTAAGGTCTGCCACAGTGTTGTGAGGGTTGCTGGCGGACAAACACCCAAACTGCTGGACCTCATCATAACTAACGAAGAGGGTACGGTGGCCAAGCTGGAACATCAAACCCTAAAAATGATCCAATACCTTCAACCAGCAAGTTTCCCCTGTATGTTAACCTGTCTGAAGAAAGCGACAGTGATGACCCACCCAGCCCTGTCTCCTCCTCTGCTTCATCCAATTAATGTAGTCTACATGTTTAATTAAAAAATTATTGAGGCCCCATGTGCATTAAGCTGACCACATTAAAGGTAAGTGCCCCTAAAAAACTGCCTAGTGCCAGTGCTAGTGATGCTGGTGGAGTGAAACATAAAAGGCAAAAGTCAGTGATGACCCTGACAAAAAAGTTGAATTATTAGACAAGTTAAAGGAGGGGATGAGTGCTGCCACGGCTGGTCAGTTGTTTGGTGTGAACGAGTCCACAGTGAGGTACATGAGGAAGAATGAACCAGCAATTCTGATTCTGTTCAAGCGAGTGCTAAAGTGGTGCAGGTTGTTCATGACAAGAACATAGTAAAAACAGAAGAAGCACTGAACATTTGGGTTGAGGACCAGCACCACAAAACTGTTCTGATCAACAGCAACTTGATTCATGAGAAAACTAAAAGTCTTTATGGTCAGGTGGTGAAGGGGCTGGTGTAGTGACTGAACCAACTTTTAGTGCCAGTGACTGGGGAGGCCGCATCAGCTGACCATACAACCGCAGGTGCATTTCCCACAGAGTAAGTGTTTAATGCTGATGAATCTGGTCTATATTGGAAGAAAATGCCTGGTAGATCATACATAAACAAGCAGGAGAGGCATGCCTCTGGGCTCAAGGCAGCCAAGAACAGGGTGATGCTCATCTTCTGTGGCAGTACAGCTGGCCACATGATCAAGCCTGGCTTGCTTTACCACTCAACAAACCCTTTCATGGAACTCAGCCTTAAGATGGTCCAAGGAATCAACCAAGTATTGTTTCCCTACCAGGAAATGTTTAAAGACCTCAAAGCCAAGAGGAAACAACTACCAATCAAGAGGTTTTTCAAGAAAGAACTGGCCACTACTGCTACCGCTTCACCCTCATCCTCCGCCAGTCACCCGCCTCCTCCCAGCTACCCGCCACCTTACCACCCGCCTCCCGGCCACGCGCCACTCAACCACCCGCCTCTCCCTGCCACCCACCACTGCATCACCCTCTTCCAACAGTGAGCCTGTTGTTCCCCCTGTGCTTCAGTAACCAGATGTCTCCCTATGTACAGTACACTTCAAGCTCCAAACTTCCACATATGAATGTATGTACAGTATTGTGATTTAAGTTTCTCATACACAGTACAGTATAGATATACCTGTATATTAGTGCACTAAGGTAGTATAAGTGGCTATTCGCAGTTTTGCCAATACATGCCATTTCTTGGAACTCATCCCTTGCGAATGGCAAGGGTCTACTGTATCTTGACGAATAAATTAGTTTAGATTCGTGCCCCTCCAAAAGGGTGACACAGAGGTCCCCCAGTGTGTGGTATGCCACAAGACTCTGAGCAATGACGGCATGTGGCCCACACGCTTGGAACGCCACCTGACAACAACCCATCCTGAACTGGCCGACAAGCCTAAGCCATTCTTTGAGGCAAGAAAGTAGTCCTTGAAGCGAGCTAAGATGGATGGCAGTGGAGCTTTTTGGCAAAAGACTTCAAAGATTGTTGAGGCTTACTACAAGATTGCTCTGTTGATAGCAAAAGACAAGAAGAGCCACAACATCGGAGAGACTCTCATAACACCGAGTCTACACCTTTGAAGCACTGAATGCTATCAACCTAACACAGCAAGGGAAGAACATCAACATCATAATGCAGTACAACACCATTCAAGCCTTCATGGCCAAACTCGACCTCTGGAAATATCAAATTGAGGATAGAAACACAACCTGTTTTGCAAACTTATATTCCGCTCTCCTACAGAGTCAGCTCGATTCCGAATTAAAAAAAGTAGTCGCTCATCTGACCGAGTTGAAATCAGAATTCATCTGCTACTTTCTGGATACAGATGAAAAGTGCAAGGTCCTGGAAATTCATCAGGAACCCATTCTACTGTGACGTAGCTGATGTTTTGGATGAAGTCCATGAAGAGTTTCTTGAACTGAAGTTTTAACTCTTCAGCTGAGGACGACTTCGAAAATCTGGATCAAGAGACCTTCTGTGTCAAGTACCTTCCTGTTTACCCCCTGATCTCACGTCAGCTGTTCAGAGTCTGACTATGGTCGGATCCACGTACCTTTGTGAGGCTTCATTTTCCACGCTCATCACTGTCAAGACCAAATACAGAAACAAGCTGAATGTTGAAGGGACCTGCAATGTGCTCTCTCTGGCATGTGGACATGCATTCAGGATGAGGTAGCTAAGAAGCAGTGCCAAGTATCTCACTAAATGTGTTGTGTATTTGTGAATTCATTACAGTATACTCTACAGATTTCCTCGCATAATAGAATGATTAAAAAAACGCTCGCACCTTTCTCAATTCTCCTTTTTAATAAAGGTCCTTCAGAAGTATTTTTTAAATTTTTTGGTTGGAGGAAGGAGGGGCGTGGAGATGAGGACCCACTACTAAAGAGGGCATGATGATGAAAAGGTTAAGAACCAATGAACTAAACTATTGGGTCTTATAAGGTCGTTCAGATATCTAGATGGTTCATCCCTTGTAATGATCTTCAAGAGTGAAGTGCTTCCCCATCTGGAGTACTGTCACCCCGTCTGGTCCCTGAGATATGCTAGAGACTGTCGGTTGGTTGAAAATGTTCAAAGGAGGGCCACCAGACTGGTGCCTGCACTGCGGCACTTCAGCTACCCAAAGAGATTAGAACACCTGCAACTGCCCAGCTTATTCTATAGGTGGACAAGGGGGCATCTAATAGAATTCCATAAACACCTCAGAGAACATTACTCAGTCATGTGTTCATTCTTGGAGCTGGCGGACGCCCGCCCCACAAGAGGTCACAGCTCAAGGTTGAAGAAGCCACAAGTCCAGAAAATTGTGAGGGCAAACTTTTGTGGAGTGAGAGTTATGAACTCTTGGAACTATCTGCCAGAGAGTGTTGTGATGGCACCGAGTGTGGGCTCATTTAAGACCAGACTTGACCAACCAGAACATGCCCAGTACTTACCACCAGTGCATAACAGAGTCAGTACTGTACATGTCCTGTACTTACTAATAGTGCATAACAGAGATGTAACTGACCTCCCAAGTGGCTAACAATCCAATCAGTGGTGAAGAGGATAATGTATAAAGTACAGTATGGTCCAATAAGTGTTGTCATGATCACAGGTTTGATTCCTGACTCATGTGGAGGCTTCAGTTCCTTCCTTGTACACCAGCCCATGTACAATCAAAGACAAAAGTCGTGTCGTGGTTTTGTCCGAAGATTAAACATAACTCGTGAAACATTATGAGAGCCCCCTACCACATGGCAGAGCTCACCAGAAGTTTAGCCCATCGGCAAATGTTTTCACCAAATTTCACGACACGACTTTTCTTTCACTGTACACTAGTCTTCGTACACTAGCCCATGTACACCAGTACTTGTACACTACTCTTTGCACAATAGTCCTTGAACAATAGTCCTTGTACACCTACCCTTGAACAGTAGGAAACTGTAGTACAGTACTGTACAGTACTTGGAGAGAACCTTCCATGTTTGATAAGGTCTGACATCTGAGCCAAGAACATGAACCTGTGACACAGTACTGTACCACCTGTGACACAGTACTGTCCCACCTGTGACACAGTACTGTACCACCTGTGACACAGTACTGTACCACCATCATCAAAACCTAGACTTACATGGGGTCGTTTCCAGGTGATAACACCAGGTGGCTGCTTGGAGAAGAAGAGCGATGAGTCATGCGGTGGGAACTTTGGGTCACTGAACTTCTCTCCTGTGAAGAAAATTAATATTATAAACAAAACTGGAAAACAATTATACATCAACAATATCTCCTCATGGTACTGTTATTCATTTATATTATTGTGTATTGTACATGTATAACTATATATTTTATAAACGTGTTATATCAATGTAAAGTTGTATGACAATTTTACTGAACCTCTCTCTCTCTCTCTTACTCATTTCATTCTTGAGTCTCTAAGGCTAACTATAACATTGATAATGTAAAGTATTGTAATTAACATTTATATCTATGAGTGGCAAATAAATTTATCACAATAGAGAAAACAAATTAATAGTTGGTATTCAGTAATAATAATGATAATAATATGGTAATACTACTACTGTAATACTACTATTAAGAGTTGTGCAACGAGCTAGCCGAGCCCCTGAAGATCTTGGTTGTAAATGTCTGGATGAACAAAAGGTCCCCAGTGAATGGAAAGTGGCTTATGTGAGTCCCATCTTCAAGAAGGGCGATCGTCACTCCATGAACAATTATAGACCGGTGAGCCTGACCAACATAATATGTAAAGTACTTGTGAGTATTATCAGAGAATCCGCGATGGAACATCTACTACGAAACAACCTTGTAAAAGATTGCCAACACGGTTTTATGCCGGGGCGCTCCTGCTTAACACAATTGCTCGAGGTATTGGATATCTGGACCCATATTCTGGAACGGGGTGGTAATATTGATAACATATACCTATATTTTGCAAAGGCTTTCGGCAGTGTAGCCCACAAAAGGCTGAAAATCAAACTGGAAGGGTACGGAATTCGGGGAAATGTCCTAGCGTGGATAGAAGACTTTCTACATGACCGCAAGCGGAGTGTGGTGATTAATGGCACGAAATCGTCATCTGTACCTGTTACAAGTGGGGTACCACAGGGCAGTGTATTGGGCCCGCTGTTGTTTGTTTGTTTCTTAAATGACATGCCTGACGCTGTACACTCCTCCATACAAATGTTTGCGGATGACGCCAAGTTATTTCGGGAAATCAAGAACCAAGCGGAGTGTAAAGAGCTGCAGAAGGATCTCTGTGAGCTCCAAAAATGGTCGAAGAAATGGCTGCTGAGATTCAATGTCACGAAGTGCAAGAGGATGCACCTGGGGCGTACCAATGGTAAGGAGGCGTATCATATGAAGAAACTGCACTATATTAGAGACTGAATGTGAGAAGGACCTAGGTGTGTATGTTGACAATGAGCTGAAGTTCTCGGGCCATTGCGAGAAAAAGGTAAATCAGACAAATAAATTATTGGGTCTTATAAGAAGGTCGTTCAGATATCTAGACGGCCCGTCCCTCGGAACGATCATCAAGAGTGAAGTGCTTCCCCATCTGGAGTACTGTCACCCCGTCTGGTCCACGAGATATGCTAGGGACTGTCAGTTGGTTGAAAATGTTCAAAGGAGGGCCACCAGACTGGTGCCTGCCCTACGGCACCTCAGCTACCCTGAGAGATTGGAGCATCTGAACTTGCCTAGCTTATACTACAGACAGGCAAGGGGTGACCTAATTGAGGTGTATAAACATCTCAAGGGGCACTACTCAGTCGAGTGTCCTTATTTGGAGCTGGCGGACGCTCGCTCCACAAGGGTCACAGCTCAAGATTGAAGAAGCTGCAGGTCCAGAAAACTGTGAGGGCAAACTTTTTCGGAGAGTTGTGAACTCTTGGAACAATTTACCAGAGAGTGTTGTGACGGCACCGAGTGTGAGCTCTTTCAAGACCAGAACTTAACCAACACTGGAGCAGATTCAGGTACATTCAGGAGCCGGTGCATGCTCAGTACTTGCCAACAGTGCGTGACAGAGAGCCAGTACATGACTAGTACTTGCCAACAGAGCGTGACAGATAAGTGACCGATCGCCCAAGTGGCTAACGAGCCGATCAGTGGTGAAGAGGATAAAAGTAAAGTAAAAATTTATAATAATAATAATAATACGTGTATGTGTGTGTGTGTGTGTTGACAGATAAAACTTATGTATAAATATGTAGCAATATTTTCATAAACACCAAAGTAACATATTAACAGAATAGCAGTTCAAATAAACGGTATTCTTATGCACTAATAAGTAAAAAAAGTAAAATTATAACCAACATTGTTATTGGTAAAGCGGAGATCAATTCACACCTGCCACATCTTACTGTTTCCACTATGGTAAAAATAAATCATCCATATTATTTTATGAACTCAGCTATCAGGGGCCAATATTTATAAGGGAACAAGTGACTAAAACTTTCGTCTTTCCTTGTGGACAAAAATACAATATTCATTTATTCATTTACATTTGACACCTAACCTACCCTACCACATGGCCTACCCTACCACATGACCTACCCTACCACATGACCTACCCTACCACATGACCTACCCTACCACATGACCTACCCTACCACATGACCTACCCTACCACATGACCTACACTACCACATGTCCTACACTACCACATGACCTACCATACCACATGACCTACCCTACCACATGACCTACCCTACCACATGGCCAAAAATGTCTGCACGGAAGGGGAGAATGCTTAGGTTAGGTTAAGTTGGGATAGGCTCGTTATGTTAGGCTAGGTTAGGATGGGTCAGGATAGGTTAGGTTAGGATGGGTCAGGATAGGTTAGGTTAGGATGGGTCAGGAGAGGTTAGGTTAGGATGGGTCAGGATAGGTTAGGTTAGGATGGGTCAGGATAGGTTAGGTTAGGATGGGTCAGGATAGGTTAGGTTAGGATGGGTCAGGATAGGTTAGGTTAGGATGGGTCAGGATAGGTTAGGTTAGGATGGGTTGGGGATGGGTTGGGTTGGGATGGATTCGGGGTGGGGTTGGTTGGGATAGATTAGGATGGGGTTGGGTTAGGATGGGTCAGGATAGGTTGGGTTGGGATGGGTCAGGATAGGTTAGGTTAGGATGGGTCAGGATAGGTTAGGTTAGGATGGGTCAGGATAGGTTAGGTTAGGATGGGTCAGGATAGGTTAGGTTAGGATGGGTCAGGATAGGTTAGGTTAGGATGAGTTACCATAAGTTACGTTTGGTTGCGTTTATGTTAAATTCAGGCTAAGTTAGGTTGGGCCGGATTAAGGTTAGGCTATGGTGAGTTAGGTTATGTTAGGTTAGGTTAGGTTAGGTTTCATACTTATGCTACCTGTGCGCTCCTCTCAGTCCCAGACCTCCATAAAATATCACAGTGTGAAGGTGTGGAACAACTTACCCCCACCCACCCCAGCAAAGACTACGCTCCCTTCCTTTAAATCATCTCTTAAAAAATATCTATTGTCTAAGTATTAATATTTTGTAACACTACTTTACATACCTGCTTTTATTGTACCACCAAAACCGTTTGTCACGAGGATAGATAGAAATTACTATTGTAATAATTATATATATATATGTTGTCAAGACATTTATCCTGCTGTATTGTTCCTCGCCTATCAGATTAATGTATATCAACTCAAATGTAAAAAATAAGAAAAAGTAAATAAATAAAAAGTGATAACCGTGGTAACATGTTCTTATTACCACCATGCTATTGTTCTATTCCATATGATACTAAATGTTACATAATACTTCCTTGAGATAAATGTACAGTATATATCAGGTGCCTACAAGAGAGCTCAGGTTCAGCCATGCCAACACTGTCATTATTATCCACTCTGTACTGTATATTTCTGACTAAATAAATTGTTTCAACATCAAGGTCGTACAGTATTTTTTCACATAAAGCATCAAGAATATTTTGTCTCCTGATAATATATTTTGAACAGTGTGCATGTTAGTTCAAGAGCCTCCTCCCTCACCTCTGTTGAGACACGACTTCTTCAGCTTGGAGTAGCTCTGACCATGGAAGGCGGTGATGTTGCTGAAGAGACCCATCCTTGGTTACCTTCTCATCTTATTCAACACTCAGGCTTCTGCCTCAGCTCCCTTGTTTCAACCTTGCCTCAGCTCCCCTTGTTTCAACCTTGCCTCAGCTCCCCTTGTTTCAACCTTGCCTCAGCTCCCTTGTTTCAACCTTGCCTCAGCACACCTTGTTTCAACCTTGCCTCAGCTCCCCTTGTTTCAACCTTGCCTCAGCTCCCTTGTTTCAACCTTGCCTCAGCTCCCTCTCTCTCCGTCAACCACCACAGAACCTGAAAGAAACAAAACATTTAATAAATATTGACTGACAACATACACATGAACACCTGACCATTAATCCTTCCAGTTTATTTGACCTTAAGATTAACCTAACCCAAGCTAACCTAACCCAAGCTAACCTAACCCAAGCTAACCTAACCGCCACACACACACACACACACACACACACCACCACTACACACACACAACACTACACACACACAACACTACACACACACATACCACCACTACACACACACATACCACCACTACACACACACCACATGCATCTCCACTACAGTCATACCGCCACATACACCACCACTACAGTCACACCGCCACACTATCTTGGTAATGTCAGCATTGAGCGAAGGAATCAATAGGCGGAAAGGTGAACAAGAGAAAGATTAGGGAGTCACCTGCCGAAAGGTGCCATTAGTGTAGAGGACCTCCACACACACACACACACACACACACACACACACACACACACACACCACATACTACTACTACTACTACTACTACTTTTCTGTCACTCGGAATCGAGTATGACGATCATCCAGCTGTGATACAATGATATGAGTTATTAAGGATGTCACCTAGGTTGGTGAGTTCTGAGGTGACCAAAGAGGCCGATACGGGACCGGGATGGTCGTTCACAGATGTTGCACATGTGGAGGGCTACATCTAGTGTGGGAGGGGCGGCGGCAGCGTCTTTCCGGCGTTGGCGCTTGTCTGCCTTGGTTTGCAGTCGGGATATCTCAAAAGTATTTATACCTTCGCATGTGGTGCTCCTCCAAGAGGTGATGGGGGTCGATTTGGCACTTTTTCAGGTTTGTCTGTTCAGTTACCCGCCAGCGTTACGTTTACTATTCGTTAGGTGATTGGAAAGTAGCTACTTTGGCAGTCTTCTGTCGTCTATGCGAGTAACATGGCCAGCCCAACGTAGTTGTTCATGGATAATGGTAGCCTCGATGCCCCTACAGTTGGTGTCAGCGAGAATACTGGCATTTGTTCTATTGTTCGATACACATCTGATCCGAGGTTGAATCTCTCCACAGATGACCGCGGCGGTGGGTAACATAAGAGTCCAGACCTAGAGGGTAGTACCAATAAGCTCGATGGATGGTAGAGGTGTGGCTGAGCCAGGGGCAGGTTGAAACAGAATCTGAGTTTTAAATAAACTCATCTCAAGGCCGAAGTGTGCATATGTACAAGATCTCCCGTAGGTCACGTTCAGTGTGAGCGACAAGGGTGAGGTGGTCTGCATACTGAAGTTCATTAATGGAAGCTGCGGACACCATTGTTCCTGCCTGGAGTCGTCTTATGTTGAAAAGACCCTTTACCCTGTACTGGATGTCCACCCCGCTGGCTAAATTGGCACTGACATGAGTAAAGAAAGTAGCCAAGAAAATGGAAAAGAGTTGGTGCCAGTACACATCCTTGTTTAACCCTCCCCCCCCTTGGATGGGGAAGAAGTTAGACTGGATGCCGTTGTGCAGGACACTGCCGTTCATGCCATCGTGGAGTTGCCTCACAATGACGATGAATTTTTGTGGGCAGCGAAAACGGCTGAGGGTCCACCAGAGGGTTTCCTGTTAACCGAGTCGAAGGCCTTGGTTATGTCGATGAAGGTCATGTACAGGTAACGACGTTGTTCTCTGCACTTTTCCCGTATCTGGTGGGCAGTAAAGATCAAGTCAGTGGTGCCACGTGATGGTATAAAGCCACAGTGAGATTCTGGGAGGAAGTTTTCCGCCTCAGGAAGAAGTCTGTTTTGGAGGACTAGGGCGATAATATTGCCAGATATGGACAGCAGAGAGATCTTGCAGTAGTTGCCACAGTCTGACCGGTCTCCCTTGTTCTTATAAATATTGACGGTGGAGGCGTCTTTAAGAAATTGGGGGATGTCTTCCTTTTCCCATATATTCTCCAGGAGTAGAGACGGCTGGTAAACAGAGGTCCTCCTGCTTTATACACCTCGGTTGAGATTCCACCAGGCCCTGATGACAGTAGCTACCTCATCCAGGGATGGAGGATAGTTGAGGTGGGTCAGCTCTGCATGCTGAGGAACCTGCTCTGTAGTTAGGACATCCACATCAGGTTTCGGTTGAGCAGTGAATGATAGTGCTCTGTCCAGTGCTGAAGGAGGCCTTCATCGTCTTTAATTAGGGAGTTACCATCGGATCAGCGGAGGGAGCTGCGCCATGAGTGGTTGGCCCATAAAATGTTTTAGTGGCATTCCACAAGTACTACTACCAGCAGGTCAACCAACTCTCGTGATCCACCTACTTAAGAATTGGTTTCGTTGAGCACACACACACACACACACACACACACACACACACATTGACACACACACACACACACAGTATATTCCGTAGATAAGACAATGCTGCTACTTATGTCTGTGTGGTGGAGGGAGGGAGGTGTGTGGGTGAGGGAGGGAGGTATGGTGAGGAGGGAGGTGTGGTGGCGACGAGTGGAGGTGGCGACGGAGGGAGGTGTGTGGTGAGGGGAGGGAGGGGAGGACGGAGGGAGGGGGTGGGGAGGGGAGGGGAGGTGTGGGTGAGGGGAGGTGGGGGAGGGGAGGGGAGGTGTAGACGGAGGGAGGTGTGGGGTGAGGGGAGGGAGTGTGTGGGTGAGGGGATGGAGGTGTGGGGAGGGAGGGAGGTGTGTGGGGTGAGGGAGGGAGGTGGGTGAGGGGAGGGAGGTGGGGTGGTGAGGGAGGGAGGGGGGAGGACGGGAGGGAGGTGGGGTGACGGAGGGAGGGGAGGGGAGGTGTGTGTGGGTGAGGGGAGGGATGGGGGTGGGGAGGGAGGGAGGTGTGGTGGGGGAGGGAGGGGTGTGGGTGAGGGGAGGGAGGTGGGGGTGGGTGAGGGGAGGGAGGTGTGGGTGAGGGAGGGAGGTGTGGTGAGGGGAGGAGGTGGTGAGGGGAGGGAGGTGTGTGGGTGAGGGAGGGAGGTGTGTGGTTAAAGGAGGGAGGTGGTGGAGGGAGGAGGTGGGTAGGGAGGTGTGTGGTATTTGGAGGGAGGGGTGAGGAGGGAGGTGTGTGGGGAGGGGAGGTGTGGGGTGAGGGGAGGGAGAGGTGGGGAGAGGGGAGGGAGGGTGGGAGAGGGGAGGGAGGTGGGGTGAGGGGAGGGAGGTGGGTGAGGGAGGGGAGGTGGGCGACGGAGGGGAGGTGTGTGGTGAGGGGAGGGAGGTGGGGGTGGAGGGAGGGAGGTGTGTGGGTGAGGGAGGGAGGTGGGGAGGGAGGGGAGGTGTGTAGTGGGAGGGGAGGGAGGTGTGTGGGTGAGGGGAGGGAGGTGGGGTGGGTGAGGGGAGGGAGGTGTGTGGCGACGGGGAGGGAGGTGTGTGGGTGAGGGAGGGTGTGTGGGTGAGGGAGGTGTGTGGGTGAGGGAGGGGGGGAGGGAGGTGTGTGTGTGAGGGAGGGAGGTGGGGGTGGGTGAGGGGAGGAGGTGTGGTGAGGGGAGGGAGGTGGGTGAGGGGAGGGTGGTGTGTGGTGAGGGAGGAGGTGTGTGTGGTGAGGGAGGGAGGGTGGTGAGGGGAGGGAGGTGTGGCGACGGAGGGAGGTGTGTGGTGGTGAGGGAGGGGAGGTGTGGCGACGGAGGGAGGTGTGTGGGTGAGGGGAGGGAGGTGTGTGTGAGGGAGGTGTAGGTGAGGGAGGGAGGTGTGTGGGGAGGAGGTGTGTGGTGAGGGGAGGGAGGTGTGTGTGGTGAGGGGAGGGTGAGCTTAGCAGGTGGTGGAGGTAACCTTGAAATTAGTCCTCCACCACTGCTACCCACCCATCTTGCTGCCCTGCCACCCACCCCATCCTGCCGCCCTGCCACCTGCCCCATCCTTGCTGCCCTGCCACCTGCCCCATCCTGCTGCCCTGCCACCTGCTCCCATCCTTGCTGCTGGCCCCACACACCTGCTCCCATCCTGCTGCCCTGCCACCCGGCCCCATCCTTGCTGCCCTGCCACTGCCCCCATCCTGCTGCCCTGCCACCTGCCCTCCCATCCTTGCTGCCCTGCCACCCGCCCCATCCTTGCTGCCCTGCCACTCGCCCCAACCTTGCTGCCCTGCCACCTGCCCCATCCTGCCGCCCTGCCACCTCGCCCCATCCTGCTGCCCTGCCACCCGCCCCATCCTGCTGCCCTGCCACCCATCACGAGAAAATACAATAACCCTTGTGAATTTTCTTGATGTTACCGTAACTGCTTTTTCTGTTCCCCACATACATATATACATATATTATTATTATTATTATTATTATTATTATTATTATTATTATTATTATTATTAGTGTGTGTGTGTGTGTGTGTGTGTGTGTGTGTGTGTGTTGTGTGTGTGTGTGTGTGTGTGTGTGTGTGTGATTTGAAATTTGCCACGTACAGTAGCTAGTTTATTGGGCGCCTCATACTCTTTCTGTGAGAGGGAAAGCAAAAGTATTTCTGTAGAGGTCACAGAAGGTGATCAGGATATTGTGGCCCTGAGAGTTACTCCCAGTACATTGTTTGTTTAGTTCAGTACAGAGAAGTTTACTCGCCTACCAAACGTGAAGTGTGGATACAGCTTTAGTACTATATATCAGCTACCTTCTCTTACAGATAAAGTGCTGTACCATTGCGCACACAGTGTGGCTAGGATCTATCTCTAGAAGGTTCTATTTTTTCACAGTCTAAGACGTAGTGTTGGAGTGTGTGGCCGTGTGTCTGGCCACACACATTACATTTAGTGTTGGAGTATGTGGCCGTATGTCTGGCCACACACATTACATTTAGTGTTGGAGTATGTGGCCGTATGTCTGGCCACACACTTTACATTTAGTGTCGTTCACATCTGCTTGAGGAACATACTGCCAGAGGTACTTATATCCTAACCTTAGTCTAGCAGTTACAACATCTTGTAATATAGTGATCTTGTTACTTGCTCCATATACATGTTTCACTTGATACAGCTCATCATGGTAAACAATCGACTGATAATTAGTGGCTGTTTGCACTTGTCTGCTTGCTCCAAATACACCAACAAGATATTTCCTGATT